TTCGGCGTAGTTCGCTTTAATGTCTGAGTTTTGCGTAACAAAATGTTTGACGTTAAATAGAGTGTAAATCCGTCGCACTGTTTGATTATTAAATTCCTTTCCTTTGTCCGTTCTTAGACTGTATGGCGGTTTCTCCATGGATGACAATAGTTCCCTCATCGCTTTGGCAGTCGTGTTTGATTCTTTATTTTCCATAGGTCGGACCCAGACATACCTCGAAAAGCAGTCGATTACGATGAGAATATACTTAATTCCATCGTTGTCTTTGCGCTAACCCTAGAAACGTCGCATAAGTCTCCGTCTGCTTGTACGTACATTCCTCCCACGATGACTTTATTTCTTGAAAATCGTTTCTTTGGTAAACGATGTAGGTTGTAGGCGTCTTGCGTTCTCATCCATCTTCGTACGCCATATGAGAGAGACATTAGGGTTACGATGCTTCAGAGCGGCATAAAATTTTTGTTCACCCGCGAAAGCGCCTGGTTTCCTGGGATCGTAGTATTCCTGATGATAATCAACCTGCATGACTATACTTTCCCACACCAACGTTTAACCGTCCGTTTGATATGGTTCATCCACTGGTCGGTTTTGACACTGGTGTCTCGGTAGTCTCTACATTGATATTTCAGAAAATATAATGGAGAGATGACGCGTAGATACGGATCACCATCCACGTACTGACGCCACTTCAGAATAACCGCGTCTTCGTCAATCGCTTTCATAGACGTATGAAAAAATGTATCGAAATCGTGCTCTGTCTCCCTCTCATACTTTTTTATGAATTTCCATACCACTAAGGCATAGGCGCACGATAGATAGTATTCCAAATATGCCGTTACTCTCTCAGAGTCTATTTCGTCCACTTCTGTTGGTAAGTTCATTTCCTGTCCGCTATGATGTAAGGACTACGGTGATTGTACGCTGTCCGAGAATATATATATATATATGCACGGGCTTCCCCACGAGTCCGATATGTCCACGGGTCGATATCGCAGCTTCTCTTCCAGATGGCGCACACACTCTCCTTTTGAATAATACCAACGTTGACTACATCCCAACACGACTTCGTCGTCGAAATGCGCTCTATACCGTTGTGGTGGCTTGGCGACAATAACCCACTGATATTGTTTCGTATCCATCGCGAAATATACAATGAGTTCGGTGTTTGTATGTCTGTATGTTTTATGGTTCTCGCGAGTACGTATATTGTTTACTTACGACTCGATGCCGGACGTCTGTGTACTTTTCTCGCTAGCTTCCCGGGGCTGGTGTTTACCCTACGCGGCGAGGTGTTTAATTAGTGGGCGACGGTCGCTCGCCGCGGCAGAGCTCGCTAATTGGGGTACCTCTTTTATCGAAAAATTTAACATAGGAATCCACTACTCAAGCAATGCCAATTCCACCGCTATTATATGGTACGTCATCACAGTGAACGTCAGGTAGATGAGAACAAGCAGATTGCAACCGGATGTATTCCTCCACTTGGCACGTCCAACTGGGCATTGATTCGTATGTGTTTATGAGTACATACGAAACGTATGTGGACATACAACCATGGTATTTGTTACTGGATTTTGTTTATTCAGGAATACAATAGAATAAACGAAGCCTGATAACTCAATTTCTTTATATATAAAAAGTCAAAATATATATTTTATCACACGTAATACAATCAGTATAAAGATATACAATGCCATGAACATGTATGGCATGGGATAACGGTAATTCTCCGTTTGACTACACTGTGTGACGCATGTTTTCGATGCCGGAATTAGGATTTTCTTTCATTCATTTTGGGGACAAAATCAAGACACTCGCGCACTCAAAGGAGGATTGCAAAATGAACTGAAGTACAATAGAAAGTGGCCACCCGTTTTGTTCCCCCAAACCAACGTAATTATTTGGAAAGAGTTTTGAGTTGAGTCACAGACTTAATGTACGTGTTGCCAGTAATGCCGAAGCAGAGGGGTGTACTTTCTTTTGTGCGTCAGTTCAGTATTGAAATTTATAAGAACAGAACCAGTTGGTTCTAAAAGGCACCGGAACTTTGGGACAGTTTCAACATGTAGAACAAGTAGAAAACATATAAACACACATATACTCACCACCTGTACATACATATTAAGGGCAATCGTGCACACATAAATGATAATTAAAAAATATAACAATGTAATACATATGCTTGAATAAAAGACACCAATGACATTGTCAGTATGACCATCACTGACAGGGACATACAGACCATCACCATTAATCACTATGTAGGTTTCAGATGTAGGGACATACAGCATTACCGTGGAAAGTCACCATTAATCACGATTTTGCGTGCCACGCTCTTATCATTTCTAATCATACATTCTTGTAACATATTATATAATCCATAGATAGTTGAATACTGAAACAAATTGACGTTTCTAACAACAAAGGATCATACTATGTACCAAAGCGCGTTGTTATTGGGATTATTCCATCTTAATTAGCCATGTGGTTTAGGTCTGTTGACATCAGTATTATTGGTATCACCTTGATCAGGCGGTTTGGAAGTCATATGTGAGACGTGGAAACATGCAAGAAAATAGTTCAACAGATAGCGAATTACACGCCTCAATTATGCAAGAAAACGACAAGAGAGGGCATTGTCTTCATAGCGGTATAGCGGTATAAAAAGAGTATTGTCATAGTTGTCGTATACTGGCATCAAGATAGCTCTGTCTTCACCGTCGTATACTGGTATCAAGATAGCTCTGTCTTCACCGTCGTATACTGGTATCAAGATAGCTCTGTCTTCACCGTCGTATACTGATATCAAGATAGCTGTCTTCACCGTCGTATACTGGTATCAAGATAGCTCTGTCTTCACCGTGGTATACTGGTATCAAGATAGCTCCTCCTTCACGTGCTATACTGGTATCAAGATAGCTCTGTCTTCACCGTCGTATACTGGTATCAAGATAGCTGTCTTCACCATCGTATACTGGTATCAAGATAGCTGTCTTCACCGTCGTATACTGGTATCAAGATAGCTCTGTCTTTACCGTCGTATACTGGTATCAAGATAGCTCTGTCTTCACCGTCGTATACTGGTATCAAGATAGCTCTGTCTTCACCGTCGTATACTGGTATCAAGATAGCTCTGTCTTCACCGTCGTATACTGGTATCAAGATAGCTCTGTCTTCACCGTGGTATACTGATATCAAGATAGCTCTGTCTTTACCGTCGTATACTGGTATCAAGATAGCTCTGTCTTCACCGTGGTATACTGGTATCAAGATAGCTCTGTCTTCACCGTCGTATACTGGTATCAAGATAGCTCTGTCTTCACCGTCGTATACTGGTATCAAGATAGCTCTGTCTTTACCGTCGTATACTGGTATCAAGATAGCTCTGTCTTCACCGTGGTATACTGGTATCAAGATAGCTCTGTCTTCACCGTGGTATACTGGTATCAAGATAGCTCTGTCTTCACCGTGGTATACTGGTATCAAGATAGCTCTGTCTTCACCGTCGTATACTGGTATCAAGATAGCTCTGTCTTCACCGTCGTATACTGGTATCAAGATAACTCTGTCTTCACCGTGGTATACTGATATCAAGATAGCTCTGTCTTTACCGTCGTATACTGGTATCAAGATAGCTCTGTCTTCACTGTCGTATACTGGTATCAAGATAGATCTGTGTCTTCACCGTCGTATACTGGTATCAAGATAGCTCTGTCTTCACCGTGGTATACTGGTATCAAGATAGCTCTGTCTTCACCGTCGTATACTGGTATCAAGATAGCTCTGTCTTCACCGTCGTATACTGGTATCAAGATAGCTCTGTCTTCACCATCGTATACTGGTATCAAGATAGATCTGTCTTCACCGCCGTATACTGATATCAAGATAGCTCTGTCTTCACCATCGTATACTGGTATCAAGATAGTTCTGTCTTCACCGTCGTATACTGGTATCAAGATAGCTCTGTCTTCGTCGTCGTATACTGGTATCAAGATAGATCTGTCTTCACCGTGGTATACTGGTATCAAGATAGCTCTGTCTTCACCGTGGTATACTGGTATCAAGATAGCTCTGTCTTCACCGTGGTATACTGGTATCAAGATAGCTCTGTCTTCACCGTGGTATACTGGTATCAAGATAGCTCTGTCTTCACCGTGATATACTGGTATCAAGATAGCTCTGTCTTCACCGTGGTATACTGATATCAAGATAGCTCTGTCTTCACCGTGGTATACTGGTATCAAGATAGCTCTGTCTTCACCGTCGTTTACTGGTATCAAGATACCTCTGTCTTCACCGTCGTATACTGGTATCAAGATAGCTCTGTCTTCACCGTCGTATACTGATATCAAGATAGCTCTGTCTTCACCGTCGTATACTGGTATCAAGATAGCTCTGTCTTCACCGTGGTATACTGGTATCAAGATAGCTCTGTCTTCACCGTCGTATACTGGTATCAAGATAGATCTGTCTTCACCGTGGTATACTGGTATCAAGATAGCTCTGTCTTCACCGTGGTATACTGGTATCAAGATAGCTCTGTCTTCACCGTGGTATACTGGTATCAAGATAGCTCTGTCTTCACCGTGGTATACTGGTATCAAGATAGCTCTGTCTTCACCGTCGTATACTGGTATCAAGATAGCTCTGTCTTCACCATGGTGGTATCAAGATATAGCTCTGTCTTCACCGTCGTATACTGGTATCAAGATAGCTCTGTCTTCACCGTCGTATACTGGTATCAAGATAGATCTGTCTTCACCATCGTATACTGGTATCAAGATAGCTCTGTCTTCACCGTCGTATACTGGTATCAAGATAGCTCTGTCTTCACCGTCTTATACTGGTATCAAGATAGCTCTGTCTTCACCGTCGTATACTGACATCAAGATAGCTCTGTCTTCACCGTGGTATACTGGTATCAAGATAGCTCTGTCTTCACCGTGGTATACTGGTATCAAGATAGCTCTGTCTTCACCGTGGTATACTGGTATCAAGATAGCTCTGTCTTCACCGTGGTATACTGACATCAAGATAGCTCTGTCTTCACTGTGGTATACTGTGTCAAGATAGCTCTGTCTTCACCGTGGTATACTGTGTAAAGATAGCTGTCCTCACCGTGGCATACTGGTATCAAGATAGCTCTGTCAGTTGACAGTAAGGAACCGATAATCCTTGCAGGAATAACAAATTTCCGATCTAACTATCTAAAATTAGGTACTATTACGACTCTCAACAGCTGTGACAGCCAAGCATGATTGTAGACTGGGTCCGGCCTAGTAAAGTCATTTGGCGGTCGCGCAATTTGGAACCAAAACTGGTTCTTGAATATACGTTCGTCATCAGAAATCTGGTACCGGAAGTAAGCTGGACCCCGTCTCGCATATCGCAAGTTGGCGCAAAGGAGCCGGGAACAAGCTTAGCACCGGAAGTAGCGCCTCGCGAGACTTACAGGCTCTATTGCACTTATTTTTCCACACTGGTACGCCGTGAATGTTTCTTTCATCAAGGCGATTGCGAAGGCTGACGCTCAGGTCATAGAGCATGAATCCACATGAACTATGTCCAACAGTCGTTGTCGTGAACCAGGACACAGGGTCTCAGGTATCTCAAATTACGTCACTTGCCATCTCTAGTTCTCCCTGTTTACGGACCTGCAAGAAAATATCATTTGAATTGTTTTTAAGATGAACAGAAAAAAGTCGAAAGGACAAAAAACCAAGCTACTACTACTAATGCAACTACTACTACTACTACTACTACTACTACTACTACTACCAACACCACTACTACAACTGCTACTACTACTACTACTACTACTGTCGTCACTATATGGCTGAAATATTGCCAAAGTGACTTTTAATTTTAACTCACTCACTCACTAGATCCGTGTTACGATCCATGTTTGACGTAAGAGGCGACTAACGGGATCGGGTGGTCAGGCTCGCCGACTGGGTTGACAAACATCATCGTATCCCAAATTGGTAGATCAATGCTCATGCTGTTGATCACTTGAACGTCTGGTCCAGACTCGATTATTTACAGACCGCCGCCATATACATGTAGCTGGAATATTGCTGAGTGAGGCGTTAATTAACAAACTAGCCAACTAACTAATACTGACGATGATGATTGATTGAGTCTAACGCCGCTTCGAACAATTTCCAGTTATATGGTGGCGCGTGAGGTAAACGCATTCAAAAACATTGACTTTAAGGTATTTACCACAACGGAACATGAACCGTTGAATGTGGAATAAACAGCGGGTCATGCAACAGATAAGGAATGTCTCGTCTTACCTGAACTGTGAGTGGGTTTATTTGGTTTAATGCCGATTTGGACACTATTTCATTTATATCACGGTTCATTTCACCGTCAGTCAGAGGAAACGAGGTCTCAGGCGATTACCACCTTGCTGAAGGCCACAAGCACGAATATCGAGCTTAAAAACCTCGAAATATAGTCAGACCAAACGGTGACTCAGACCAGAGACCATATGGTCTCTGCTCAGACTGACGATATTAGCTCTCTGGTACGCTTAAGGGACAGCGCATTCGCACTACACTGTTCTGCCCAGTCCACTTGACAACTGGGTCACCTATGCTTTTACTGCGAATTTTGGATTGTGTGCTGGACAGCGAGTAGATTCTGGGGATGAAGATACGACACATTTCCACCAGAACTGGGGCTTCCGTGTTTAGACATTGTGACCATATTTTGCCGAGGGTTCGCGTCTATGAAATACTGCCGTCATGTGGCTAATATATATTGCTGCGTGCGTCGTAATGTAATATTCACAAACGGCTGATGCCACTGACGAGGCATCGTTTAGTGAGTAAGTGAGTTGAGGTTTACGCCGCTTCATGCAATATTCCAGCAATATCACGGCGGGGGCACCAGAAATGGGCTTCACACATTGTACCCGTGTGGGGAATCGAACCCTGGTCTTCGGTGTGGCGAGCGAACGCTTTAACCACTAGGCTACCCCACCGGCCCCACATATCATTTAATCACAAACAAAAGGGTTTTCATAGTTTCACTGACATTCTTTGTACTGCATCTCATTTCGTTCTTGACGATCTTGTCGTTGATGTCTCCAGTCATCTCATTGATGATCAGCGCTACCCAGGCAAGTCCTAGAACCACCCAGATGACATTGACAATGCGGTATACATCGCGGTAAGGAACTGCTTTCAGACCTGCAACAGAAACGAACAGCATACATTCTGGTTTACACATTCTGGTTTACACAATCTAGTTTACACATTCTAGTTTACACATTCTGGTTTACACATTCTAGTTCTACACATCTGGGACACATTCATGGTTTACACATTCTGGATTTACACATTCTGGTTTCACACATTCTATTCTGTTTATTGAGGCTAGACATTCTGGTTAACTTTTATTGAGCTAGACATTCAAAAGCAAAGGCTTTTTTAAAATATGAATAAAAAATAGTGACCCTGATAGAAATTTAGATATATTCAATCTGTCAACAATGAATATTTTATAGTTGTTAGTGTCTCTATTTACAACAGTTTGGAATATATTAATTTTTCAAGCATGTTCTGGCACAATTTCTCCACAACTCTCTTTCCCAATCCCCCCTCGCGCATTTCAAATGGACAGTCCCTAAGTTGATTTGAAGTTATTGTGATTTATATGCTGGCACAAGGCAACAGGATGTAGCTTCCCTTGTCGTCAGTGTGCTTCTTACTATACACATGAACATTAATAAACACCACCTGAATCCAATGGCGATGTTTATACTTTTGGTCAACACAAACAATTGTTCCCTTACTTACTGGAATGTACATGTAAAGCACGTGCTTCAAGCTATGGGTCGCCTGTTCACGTGCTGAGAAGGCGCCATTTACATTGGGGTATAAATTATCTGCACCTCGGTTTTCTGAACTGATTTATAGGACATCACTAAACATTAACTTTTCTTGACATTGCAAGACGTAGGTATTCAGAGAATGCACGACTGCAAATCATTGACAGGTATGACGCAGGGATTTTCTGGAACATTGATCACGCGGTCATTAGTCAACTTGGGAGGAAGCATCACCGGTGAAGTGAAAGATCAATGTCTGCATTCCCATGGCCCAAGTCGAAGAATTGGAGCGGCAATGGAGATTGGTTATGAATAAAATATGCCAATCAGGGAGATCTGATTTAGATATTAATAAAATTTGCCAATGAAAAGGCCTATTTTCAGGCCGAGATAGACAACGGTCAAGGTCGTCAATGGCGAAGAGCCACGGCACGGCATGGCACGGCACGGCACGACTCGACGAAGAAGAAAAAATGTTAGTTAATAACACATTACGGCTGACAGGACTTTGTTTCTCAGAAAGAATGGCGATGAGCCCGATGAAAGGTGCTCTCGATTTAGCGTATTTGGTGCGTGGCAGTTGTTTATAATAAACAAGACATTGGGTTAGTTAGCGGTACAAAATCTGAGCAGGGTTTTGGCTCGGAACTGCACAGTAGCGAGATTTACAGCATCCGAGTTGACACCGCCTTTAGCACACGTCAGTGGTCAAAGTATCATCTATGTCTCATTTCGTAGCTGAATCTATTGGTCTGAAATGATTATAAAGTTTTATATTGATATCTACAGTGGGCATTGTTGAATTCGTCCTGAGAAAAACTTGGTGTGCTGACCATGTAGCATCCCTTTTATACTAAGCAGCAAAAGAAACGTCAGTCTGGAATTTTCCTTCGCAGAAACGGATAACTGTAAACCCATTTAATGTTTTGATTGTATATTTATGACAACATCTTCAACTTTACCTGAGCAAAGACATTCCTTCCCAAACTCAGAATGGAACCCAAGAAATGGTCTCAAAAAGGCAACCTGATCTCGGAGATGGTACGGTGTTCTCCATTTTTTTCATGCAACTCATGCTGCACGTGCTCATGCAGGACCAGCCCTATAAAATGCATCCCCAAACCTGGTTGAAACATTCACATTACAACGTCAGCAGGGTGTCCTTTCTCAAGACAGCTCAGAGGAACCAGGCGCTAGGAAGACTTGAAGCTGGCCACACTGCACAACCCGTTGCCAATCACTTCCAGGTCAACGTTCGGACCATCTACAGGCTGCAGCAACGTTTCCGGGCCAACAACACAAATGATCGCCCCTGTACTGGCAGACCAAAGGTGACCACAAGACGACAAGACCGCCATGTTGTGCGACAGCATGTATTGAATCCCTTCATGCAGGCATCCGAACTAGCACGCCAGACAGTGGGAACACGGAAGACCAATCAGCACTGATACAGTACGCCGACGTCTTAACAGCGGGAACCTCCATTGCCGTAGACCTTACCGTGGACCTATCCTCACCCCTCGTCATCGGCATGAACGTCTACAGTTTGCCCTACAACACCAAAACTGACCATACAGGCAATGGAGAACTGTTCCGTCGGTACTGCGTATCATCTGCAAATGGCAGAACAAGAATATGGCGACGACGTGGCCAGCGTTACTCAGACCAATGTGTTATGGAAAGACTCATGGGAAGGTACATGCATCACGGTATGGGGTGAATAAGCCTGAACCTGAGAGTGGGTCCTGTGGTGTTTCAGAACCTTGGTCCAGGGAGAGGAGGCGGCATCACAGCGGTGCGCTACATCGACCAAGCTCTCAGACCCCACGTCATACCACTTTTCGCACGTCACCGGAAGAACATTTTCCAGCATGATAACGCCCGGGCCAATACTGCCAGAGCTACACGGGACTTCCTACAGCAGAACGGTGTCAACAGTATGCAGTGGCCATCCCTCAGTCCTGATTTAAACCCAGTTGACCATCTTTGGGATAAAATTCAGAGGAATAATGTCATACCAAGGCCGAACACCGTCGATTTATTGCTCCAGGCCTTTCTCAGAGTGTGGTTCAAGGTGCCAATGGCCTTCATCAATTGATTGGTGCACTCCATGCATAGACGCTGTGCTGCAGTTATTGCCGTTCGTGGTGGTCACACTAGATAGTGAAGTCAAGAGTCTGAATGGACTGCAAACGTTCACGTATTGTCTTGGAATTGTGCTGAGTTATTCATTGATGTGTCAAGATATTGTACACACAAAATGTTTTTGATCCGCTCATTATGTCCATTTCTGTAATGATTTGATTACAGTGTCTATCTAATTTTGAATTCGTACTGACGGTTTCTTTTGCTGCTGAGTATATCTTATATTTAATGCTGAGAACCCTTCAGTGACAATATACACATTGATGAGAATTTTCTTTTCTTTTCTGGTTACAAGCCTCTGGTCATAAAACAACATTCACAATAACCTTCACTGTAATGCAAGTATAGAAAGAGTAACTGCAGGGTTTGAGACATAAATACCAAGTCCTACCTACCTGCTACATAGTCCCCGAACCCTATTGTAGTAAGGGTTACAACACTATAGTACACAGACACGCCATAGTGCCACCCTTCGACCAGGGTGAACATGACAGAAGGCAGGAAGATGAGCAGGATGGCGCCCAGTGCCACACACAGGCTGACTTTGACACATCGGAGGACACGGTGAGATCGGCCCGTGATCATCTTCTCCTGGAGCTTAGTGATGGGGAACCTCAACTTCTGGCCAATGGCCGCCAGCAACACAGTACATAATGGTATTCCACACAAGGCACAGAATATGCAGAATATTTGTCCAGCCAATGTATTCGGGGCAATGTTCCCGTAGCCTGAAACAGAGAGCATATGATCCTTCTATACAGTATATATAGCCTGGTATACAGACAATGAAACAAACATAGACAAGAAGGCCTATGCAAGTCTTGACTACTGCAGTTTCAGGAATAGAGAATCCTACTTGGGTTTTTTAAATCCTATTTGTAAAATATTATAAAGTTAATTTAAGAAATGTTTCTCTGAAATGTACATGTATATGTTCATTTTGGGGGAAATGTGTTAGTCCAATACTTATCCCGCGATTTAATATTTCACGATAACATGCATCGGCCAATTCTGACCATCCAATCCCTTTAGACACCTTTCATGACAAGCATGGATTGCTGAAGACCAATTCCAACCCGGATCTTCAGAGGTGAGTGAGTGAATGAGTAAGTTTAGTTTTACGCCGCACTCAGCAATATTCCAGCTACATGGTGGCGGTCTGTAAATGATGGACCAGGCAATCCAGTGATCAACAGCATGAACATCGATCTACGCAGTTGGGATACGATGACATGTGTCAACCAAGTCAGCGAGCCTGACCACCCGATCCCGTTAGTCGCCTCGTACGACAAGCATGGGTTACTGAAGATCAATTCTTCCCCGGATGTTCAGGGGTATGGTATAGCTACGGATAGGGAGGTAATACATATCTACAAGCCCGCAGCTAACATGCCTACCAATCGTGGTAACAACAGTCGTTGTGAAGAAAAGAGAGCTTGCGAAATCCCAGTTACTCGCCGACGTCTTCGTCACTGTTGCCACCACGCCCATATCGTACGCTTCTATCACTCGTTGTACAAACACCTCCATGTCGTCTTGCAGTATACATGGATATTTACCTGAAATTCAAACACTGGCATCATTCCTCAATCCTTTAGAGTAATGTTAGCTACACCACGTTCTTCGATTTAGCGGCTTTGCGTAATCTGTACAAGTTTAGTGGTAGTGACATTTAACCACAGTACGTGTATGTGGACAAAGATGGAATCAGTAAACCAGTCAGACTTCAACATTCTCAGGTTGAGGAAAGATAATTATTTTACTCTGATGGATGTAGCAGGCTGAGGTAAAATAAGTATTTTTTCTTGACAGATGCAGCAAGTTAGGAATATAATTATATTTTGCCTGATACATGTAACAAGATGAGGTAAGATTATTATTCGTACCTTGTAGATGCAGCAAGTTGAGAAAAAATATGTATTTTTTCCTGATAGATGTAGAATATACATGTATATCTTTCAACCCCAGTCGTGTAACTAACCTTTTCGTCGAGAAGACACAGGGCAAGTAAACAGTTCACATAGGACAAACTCGAGCGTTATTATCAATCAATCAATCAGTTGATTCTCAACTAACCACGGTTGGTGGTACAAGAGCGAATACAAATATTTTATATATCAAGCAAATGTAAAACTCTCCCCAAACAGAAACGCATCATGAAAATAGCAATTTCATGTAGCAATGAATTAATTCGTGATTCATTTTACAAAAGGTTTTGCTCTGTTTATGAGTCCTATGGTGTTTATGTTATGAAACATCACAACAAAACGCACCATCCGTAAAATACCCGTATTTAACAGCATGATTTTCAATTTCGGCTTGTAGTGTCACAGAATACACAATTCACATGCAATGCACGTGAAAGTTGGGGATCAGATAGTCTCAATGATGGGTATAAAAGGTTGATCGCTGTCTGTCGATTATTCACTGTATTTGGAATATTGTTGACGAACGCAAAATGCTACGTCTAAGTGAAGCCAACCGTCATATCGCCATTGGTTTTCTTGAAGCTGGCCAGTCTCAACGTGCAGTTGCCTGACGCATGAATGTTCACCAAAGCACCATTTCACGGCTCCGGGAGAGATATCGCCGGCAGAATGCGGTAGCAGATGCCCCTCGTAGTGGGCGACCTCGGGCGCCCACTGCGGCGCAGGATCGCTACATCCGGGTACATCACCTGCGTCATCGAACACCTACGGCGACCAGTACCGCTCGACAAATACCCGGATTGAGGAGGCTTTCTGCACAGACCGTCAGGAACAGGTTGAGAGAGGCTGGTTTACGTGCCAGAAGACCTTATTTTGGCCCTGTGCTTCGACAACAACATCGTCGACATCGAGTTCAATTGTGCACCAACGTTCAGGCCTGGAACCTACCGAATTGGCGTGGAATCTGGTTCAATGATTAATCACGATTTATATTGGAACGACGCGATGGAAGAATGCGGGTTTACAGACGTCGACGTGAACGTTTCGCCGACGCTTGCGTTCCCCAGGTGGACAGATTCGGCCGGGGAAGTGTTATGTTGTGGGGAGCGATCACCTGCCGTAGGAGAAGTGATTTGGTGATGATCCAGGACACCCTGACAGCTCAACGGTACTGTGACGAAATCCTACGCCCACACCTCCTTCCAATCATTGATCGCCAGAGTGAGTTGTTTCAACAGGACAATGCCAGGCCCCACACAGCACGTCACACTAGAGACGACCTCCAGAACCACAACATCAATGTGCTCCCCTGGCCCTCAAGATCACCGGACTTAAACCCGATCGAACATCTGCGGGATGCCCTGGACAGACGGGTGCGACGCCGTCACCCTCAGCCCCAGACACTTCAGCAACTCGCACAGGCACTACAGGCAAAGTGGGCTGCGATTGGGCAACACGATATTCTGAGACTTATTCGTTCGATGCCGAGGCGATGTCGTGCAGTTCTGGATGCCCACGGTGGTCACACGAGGTATTGACTTCAGCGCCACCACACTCAAACTGACTTTCCTCGAGTTGGTGCCTAAGACGGATAAGTCTGCATTCCCAGTGTGCAATTTCGCTATATTTCATTTAGGAGATAAACATCATGTGTTGGCCAATTTCCGGGTGTTATTGAGTATTTGAAGCACGGGAGGTTTCAAATGAAATATTCCCGTGCTTCAAATACTCAATAACACCCGGAAATTGGCCAACACATGATGTTTATCGACATTGTAAACACAAAAGTAAACCAAAAGGTCCACACACGTTTTTGTGTCGGCACTCATTGACATCGAGTACGGGTACAGCAGTGAAATGTCATCAGCCTGCCGTTTCGGCTGTCTCCCATGGTAGCATCTGGAACTGCTCATTTGTGACGGCATTCGGATTTTACGTCACAATATGATTTTAATGACGTCACCACAGCTGACGACGTAACAATACAATGGTGTGAGCGATGTTTGTATGTATTAATACGCAGCGAATTTCCGGGAATCGAATACCATTTGATCACGTTTTTCAACCAATCAGATTAAAGAACACAGTGACTTTTGGTTTACAATTCTTTATAGTGTCATTAGTTGTGAATAATTTAACCAAAAAAATTCAGACTTGGATATTTTGTTTTGGGGGATGATAAAAACATTTTCCTGGCATCACAGAGATTTTGACATTCAAAAAATATAATGAAATTCATCAGCAATAGATGCAGATTGACAGAGTTTAGAAGTTCTATCAATGCCTGGGATGTTCTCCCAGCGGCCAGTTTCTATTGGCAGACTGTGATTAGATGTAATAAATCTTAGTAATGGAATTGATATTCGCTTTGGGATATATAGGTATGTATCAAATAGTGGATACTGTTTAAGGTATTGATAATACAATCCTTTTGAGCTTGAAGCAACATCGTTTCTCCACTTTTGAATAAATTGGTCCTTAAGTATGTGTTCGACCCGTGAAGCTAGCCACTGAGTTGTACAAGAGGACGGGTTTTTGAATACATACGATAATCCGGTATCGTCTAAAATAGCCTTAACTTTTTGGGTTTTCTAGTAGTTTTCCGCTTTCATTTTCCACAATCAGGTAATTATAAATAAGTTGTGAACGTTTTTTGACTCCATTATGGTTGGTAAGTTTATGCCAAAAGGTAATGAGACGTTTATAGATATTTGTCGTGATTGGGAATCTACCGGGCTCCCCATAGAGCATAAATCGAGGTGTGCAATTCCTTAGTCCTGTAATAAGTCGTAGAAATTTTAGATGGATTTTTTCCAGACATTCCACATTTTCAATACACCAAATTTCTGAGCCATAAATTAGTATAGGTAATATCATTGAATCAAAGGCAAACAACAAACAGTCCAACGGCAAGTCGATATTTCGTGCTTTGTATAACAGACTGAACATGGCTTTAGTGGCACTGTCACCGAGATCCTTAATACTTGTTACCAGTCTTCTATTTCTATGAAACGTGATGCCAAGGTAGTTGTATGTATCTACGATATCAAGTCTTTTGCTATTATAACAAAAATTCCATGTTGAGGTGTTTGCTGGTCCACTCCCAAAGATAAGAATTTTGTTTTTACTTATATTGACAGTTAATTTCCATGTATCACAATATGTTTTAAAGGAATCTAATGCTTTCTGTAATCCTTTGGGTGATTTATCGAATAAGACGGTATCATCTGCATATAGTAAAATTAATAGTTGTATGAAGAGTTGAAAATCATTATCTTGAACATAATCTAGTCTAACACCATTACAGTCAGAAGCAAGGATGTCTGATTCAATATCATTAACAAAGATTGAAAATAGCAAAGGCGATAGGATTTCTCCCTGTCTCACGCCATTATTGCACGTGAAGTAGGCCGATACACTGTTATTATATTGCACGAAAGATTTGATACCATTGTACATTGCAATTACAAGTGTCAGAAACCTCCCTTCAATACCAATAGTTTGCATTTTCTTCCACAGACCTACTCTCCAAACTGTGCCAAAAGCCTTGGTGAAGTCTATAAAAGCACAATATAATTTTTGTTTGTAATTTTCAATATCTGCATGAGGTTATAGATAACAAACAAGTTGTCGGCAGTTGAAAATGATTTCCTAAATCCAGCTCGTGCTGGTGTCAATATATTGTTTTCATCTAGAAGGTCTGATAGGTGGTTGTTCAATATTTTTGTAAATAGTTTCCCAAAACAACTTTGGATGGTAATAGGTCTATACGAGTTTGGATCAGATGTATCCTCTTTTTTTTGGTAAATTGGTTTAATTATTCTAGTAAACCAAGAATCGGGAAGAGTGCTTTTTTCAAATACCAAATTAAAAAGTTCGACTAACAAGGGGGGTTAATAAATCGCAACTATCAATTAAATATTCGTTTTTCGATAAAGTCTATTCCAGATGCCTTACATCGTTTCAGTTGCTTTATGGCTGCCCTTATTTCTTCCTCTGTAATATTGCTATTCAATATTTCACAAGTTAGTTGACTATTACTTCCGCTTGCATCGAGTTCTGATTTGAAGAATTTGTATAATACATCAATATGTATGTTATCATTGCTATCAATCTTATCACCATTTAAAGTTTTCCAGAATTGTTTAGGAGAGTGCATATGGGTCTCCCTAAACATTTTACCGATTTCGTCTTTGTACCGCTTTATATGTCTATCCATACACTATTTATAATTGTTTTATTCAAACCTAAATACGCGTTTATTATAAATGGAGTAGTGTTTTCGTAAACGTCGTTTTGCTTTATGAAATATCTTACGAGCTTTGTAACATTCTGACCCGTGAAGGTCCGGGTTAGAATGAACCTTCCGTAACCCATGCTTGTCGTAAGAGACGACTGACGTAATCGGGTGGTCAGGCTAGCTGACTTGGGTGACATATGTCATCGGTTCCCAATGGTGCAGATCGATGCTCATGATGTTGATCACTGGATTGTCTGGTCCAGACTCGATTATTTACAGACCGCCGCCATATAGCTGGAATATTGCTGAGTGCAGCGTAAAACTAAACTCACTCACTTGTAACATTCTGTTCCGAACCAAGGTTTACATGTTCGGTCCTTCGTAAATTCTC